AACAATAACTAGTGTGAAGTCCACTGTCCCATGACATGACGTCTTTGAGGCATATAGTGTGACCCAGGAGAAGGTATGGTATACTCCAAAAAAAGACTGCTTGATTTTTTTAAATGTAAACAAACAGAAACAAAGATCTCAGGATTAGGTATAGGAATGGCTAGTAAGGGTGTGAGATAATGCAAATAACACAAAGCTGTATCAGTCTGAGTATAATGATATGAGCCTGCAAAGTAGAAAGTCTTCATTCACTATTTCAACTTAAGGGATTAGAAAAGTACCTAGTAGTTATATTGTTGGGTGACTAAAATGAGGACTATGAAGTGGCCGATACTAAATGAAGTTGAATTCCAGAATTGCTTTGATATACTGTAAAGGGTATCTAAAAGCTTAAGTAAATTGGAATGTTAGAGTAGATTTATTAAGATGGACATACCCACACAACCAGGGGATGCTTAGAGGGCTCTATCAATTCCAAGATGAGCAAATTTATAGGCCCACAACTCCTATGAATCCTCTTGAGGAAGAACCCCACTACACTGTCAGAATTTAGATAGTTAATATTTCTCAAAGGATCCATATGGCCTTTTATGAGGATAACTGTCCACTGGGGAAAAAGGAATAATCAGATTATTGGCTATTACTGAATACTGGCGCTATCATATTGGCACTAAACTGACACTAATTCAAGGAGGCCCAAATGTCAGTCATAATAGTCTCAGCTCATGGTTGTCTAACAGTGGGTACAGTGGGTCTCTGAAATAATCCTGTAATAATCTCTCCAGGTCCAGAATACACAATCGGCATAACTTTGGATCCCTGACACATGGAGAAAGGGTTATTACAGTAGGAAAGGCCAAGTAGAAGCCATTAAAACTTTCCTCAAAGAAATATTAAAGCAAAAGCAATATTACATTACTGGAGAAACTGCAGAGATTAATGTCACCATAAAGACTTAAAGAATGCAGGGGGAAGATTTCCACCACAATCTCATTCAACTTACCTATTTGTCCTGTGCAAAAAAACCAAATGCACCTCAAGAGAGTAACAGTAAATTGACATAAACTTAACCAGTTGGTGGCTGTGATTTTAACTGCTAGTCCAGATGTGGTTTCATTGCTTGAGCACATTAGTACATTTCCTGGAAGACAGCATATAGCTATTGCTTTAATCAATGCCTTTTCCTTGATACCTGTTAGAAGCAGTTTACCTTTAGTTATCAAGGTCAAGAATATACAAGGGGGCTTCAAAAAGTTCTTGAATGAGATCAGGTCCTTTAAGGGTGGTATTGGTGAAGAAATTAGATGGTGCCCCACTAATCAGACAGAATAGCATCTGGGATCTTAAAGGCTTGTTTCCAAATAAGCAGCAATCTAAGTGAGATGTCAACTAATCCACATGGAAGAAGCACACCAACATCTTTGATCCACGCATTGTAAATTATTAATCCAAATCTGAAGAAGGGAATAGTATCAAAGCATAAAAGGTGAAATTCTGGTTTTCAGAAGGAAATGGATGACAATGGAAGACCCAAATACATTGGCAGGATCTACTCAGGGAATAGGTCTCCAGTGATTTCCCTATCACCATAATTGAGGGATGGGAAGAAACTGGCTACCATAGGAGAGTATTGAAGAGGTGACAATAGTAAAATAAAATGATAAATCTGACTTGAACAGTTACAACCTTGCTACTTGATCTCCCCTGTGCTACACTATCGGGGTTTACTTCTATTGTATTTTGTCATTGTGGGCAGCCTTCTTGAATCTTTGTTATGTGTTTTTCTTAATGCCCGACCTGCAGTTCTAGTACACAAACCAGCAGACATCTGTTCCTTTGCTACCCCATGCACATGCAGAGGTCTCCAGGTTGCCACTGGACTCATGGATATGGGATGTGCTAACCCCCACAATTGTGTGAGTCACGAAGTAAAATTTTCTCTATATATTTACATACACATTTTACTGGTTTTGCTCCTCTACAGAAACTCAGAGTCTGTCCCTGTAAGATGACATGTGAACAGAGTTCTCAATAAAATTAAAGAGTCCAGAGACTATACCAGTGTTTCTCAATTGGGGCGATACTGCCCCCCTGGGTAGCATTGAAACAACCCAGTGAATATGTTTGTGCCTTAAAGCTTCCAGGGGTGCTACAAAAGCAGATACCTAAATCTTATCCTGAATTATGGGCAGTAGTACAAAAGTTTTTAATGGCCAGGTGGACAATGAGCAATTTTTTTTTCTGAAAAAAGGGGTGGTAGGCCAAATAAGTTTAGGAATCTATGGGCTATGTGAACACCCAGGTAGCAAGAAGAGAGATTACAAAGGCCTTGAAGCTGGTGAGGTCCTAGGGTGACTAGGTAGCAGCAGGACGCCACCTTGGCTGAAGGTGTGTGCTCCTAAGGAAACAAGCAGGCAGGAAGTCAGAGCAGGAGTGGACATTAAATCTAAAAGAGCCTTAAAGGACACCGTGACAAAGCTGACTTGTACTTTGAAGAAGATGGGAAGGTCTGACGGCAGAGAGCTAGGATCTCAGAGGGATTGCAGCGCCTGTGCTAAGAATAAATCAAGGCCGGTATGCAAGGGAGAAATAGGGAAACCAGAGAGATGGCATAAAGTGAGGGGGTGGAGACCAGAGTGAGATCAGTGGGGGTACAAGTGCTTGGAGTCTGTATCCATGCTGAAAGCTGAGCTGCTGCATTGGGTGTAGACCCAGGCAGGGAGGAGGAACAGTGGCTGAGCCTTGAGAGGAGCATCGGAGGGAGAGAAGCAGGGCTGTGAGCACAATCTTTGCAGGGCACTTAAAGAGCAGAGATGAGGGGTGATGGCTAGGCCAGAGAGGCAGCGTTCTTTAGAATGGGGAGGAGAAGCACAGCTTTACATATTTATGGCAAGGAGGGCTCCAAGTGAGTGGGGAAATAAAAAGAACAAGGAAGGATGGAAAGAAGAGGAGAAAGGGGAATTAAGAGGAGTAGGGGGACGGACAGGAGGAAGCAAAGGAAAAGTAGAACAGTGACAGGCATGGTGTCTGGCCCTCAGTAGAGCAAAACCTTTTACAGGGCAGACTATTTTCCCACAACCATAAACAGGGAAGTGTAAGTGTGTGGATGCCTATTTATGGCTGTCTGGTGATTAGGAAATGTTACTGGTATTTAGCACCTGTCAGGAAGGAGCCTCAAGTACAACACGTGATATTCCACCAGTGAGCAACATGCTTCCCCAAATGCTAATCTGTTTTCCACTTGAGGTATACGGTGGGGTACCCCCCAAATCTGGAATTTTGTTTCAAAGCTTTGTATTTAATTTTTTAAAAACAAAACAACCTTATCACCTTCAAGGTACTCTCCTTTACACTTAATAAATTCGTCAATTCTGTGCTTCCATTCTTGGAAACATTTTCAAACTCAACTGTTTGGATGGCTGACAGCAGCTCTCTCATTTTTTTCTTCTTCATCTCTTCTATATCATCAAATAGCTGTCCTTTCATGTCCCTGTGCATTAGTGGGAACAAAAAGAAGTTGTCTGGAGTGAAGTCAGGTTGAGTAAGGTGCATGGGACGAGAGGCATGCTGTTTCTTGTTAAAAACTGGCATACTGAGATAGCTGTGTAAGCAGTTGCATTGTCGTGATGGCAAAACCAGTCCCCCATCTGCCACAAATCAGGCCTTTTTTGTTGCACATTGTTACATAATATTTTCAAAATCTCTAAATAGAAAGTATGATGAACAGTTTGACCTAGAGGAAGGAACTCTAAATGCACTATATTGTGCACATCAAAAGAACAAATGAGCATAATCTTGATCTTTAATTTCACTTGACAAGCTTTTCTGGGGCAAGGTGATGATGGTGTCTTCCACTGGCTTAACTGATGTTTGCTGGTCACCAGTAATGACCTCGAAAAAAGTCTGGGTCACTTTAGAGCTGTTCTTTCCAAGAATGACTTGCTTCCAGCTGACACTCTTTTTTGGTGGTCTGTCAGAACCCAATGCACAAATTTCAGAAATCTTCTGTTAAAATTCACTGAACTGAGCCCAAGACAGTCCAGATAACTTCCCCATCTTTTTAATGGTCCATCATTGATCTTCAAGCAAAAGTGGATGAATTTTGTTGACATTTTTGTCCATTTGGGAAGTGGATGGACATCCAGAACAAGGTTTGTCATCGATCGACATTTCACCTTTTTTGGAAACAAGAAAACTACTGGTACACTTGTGTTTTTTTCATAGTGCTATGTTTGTAAGTTGTGTTCAACATCACAACAGTTTCTGTGACATTATTCTGGAGCAGAAAACAAAATTTCACAGCCACATGCTGTTCTCTTAAATGAGACATCACAAAAAACAAGGTGTGAACAAAACTGCTTTTATGAAAAAATTCACTGTGACCAGAGAACCTTCCCAGGTGACACCACTGGGTGCACTAACTCAGAAAGAGTTGCTTGATGCTCCCTTAGTAGGAACAATGCATCCTATGAAAGGTCCACAGAGTGGAGTTTTTTTTCCTTTTTTTAACCCACTCATATGTGTTGGGTCATGATTTAGGGGGCTGCTCAGATACCTTGTCTGTGCAGTATGGTCTCCCTAACCCCTTGACTCTACAGCCCAGGAAAATGTGTTTTCTTCAAAGCACTTGCCCAACTACAATCTTATTATTATCTCTCATCATCTCTAGAATTTAAGTTCCATGAGGGCAGAGACTTAGGCTTATTTATCTCAGATCCACCTAGGAGAATGCTTTCATACACAGTAGGTGCTCAGTAGGCATGTGCTGAATGATGGATGGATGAATAAATCAATAATCTTCCTGAGGTTATGTGGACAGCTCAAAAATAAACCTTAAAATGATACCTAAAAGAAAATAAGTACAATAAACAAACTATATATATATATAATAGAATGTTTTATTGACTGTTATTAATTATGAATCCTGTGGGAAATTACTTTATGCTCAAGTATGAGGTGTTGACAGAGGCTCAGTCTGAGTGGTTACTAATAAACATGGCATCTCTGAGTCTGTGACCAGACAGTCTGTTACTACACCAGCTATGTGAATACCCATGAGGTAGAAATGTGCAGATATAAGATGCTTGTGTGGAAATGACAAGAATTTATTACTCACCTGGTCCTTCAGCTCATCTACTTTTTCTTGTAGAAGCATTTCGACATTCTTTAAGATAATTTCCACTTTATCCACTTGCTTTTCTGTGGCATTAAGTTGTTTCTCATGTATTTCCTGATAAAAGGAGGTTATCAATCAAAAATTATGTTTGTTTTTTTTCCTCAAAAAATTATGTTTTAAAAGAACTAACTTCAAGACATTTACAAAGGTATTTGGGTGAAATGTACAAATCTTCAAGTGGCTAGCTATGAGCTTCTGTCTGAACATGGGATACTACAAGTTCTCTTTCAGGAGTGTAGGTGTGGCACAGGGTATAGTGTTTTGCATAGGAATCTGATAGTAGCAGTTTTTTACATAGGCTTACAATAAAATAAAAATAAAAACAATGCCATCAAACCAATTTTGACTCACAGCATCCCTATATAGAGTTTCTGAGAGGATTTTTTTTTTTATGGGGATAGGCTTATCTTTTTTCCTCAGATCATCTGGTGGATTTGAACTGTCAATCTTGCTGTCAGCAGTCCAACTGTTATCTGGTAATGTAATTAACCACTATTCCAAAGGCTTAGCATATGTTTCAGCAGTTGTGTTCCTAGGTATTTACTCAAATGAGTTGAAAATCTTTATCCACATAAAAACCTGCATACAAATATTTATAATAATTTTATTCATTATTGCCCCAAACTGGAAGTAATCTAGAGGTCCTTCAACAGGTCAATGGACAAACAAACTAGCATATCTGTACTATGGAAATATTGTCCAGCAATAAAAATAAATGAGCTATCAAGTCATGAAAAAAATATGGAGGAACCTGAAGTACTTATTAAATAAAAGAAACCAGTGTGAAAAAGCTACCTAATGTATGATTCCAATTATAAGCATAAAGCAAAATTAAAGAGACAGTAAGAAAGTCAGTGATTGGCAGGAATTCAAGGAGCAATGGAGGTACAAACAAATGAAGCAGATATTTTAAGGGCAGTGAAATTATTCTGCATGAACTTTAATCTTGAGTACAGGACATGCCTACGGGAAACTCAAAGCGTCATCCTGAATGGGAACTACAGACATCAGTTAATAACGAAAACTGGTGCTGTGGAGTTAATTCTAACTCATGGCAACACATGTGTTTACAGAGTAGAGGTGCTCTATATGGCTTTCTTGGTCATGATCTTATTCTGAAATGCTAACAGCCCAGAAAACCTGATCTGATCTGTAACCACATGGAGTTTCTTTCTATCTTGTTACTTATTTTTTTTATTTTTCTGTATGAAAACTGTTTACAGTAGTGGTCTCATACAACATTTGCCCTCTTGTGATTGACTAATTTCCCTCAGCATCATGTCCTCCAGAATAATCCATATTATTGTTTTGCATC